TCCCCATTGTGCTCTCTCTGAATCTACATTATACCAGGATGCTTCCACATAAGTTTCAGCTTTTCTGGCCCAGTGGTTCTTGAGAAGAAGATTTTCAAAGATTTTTCCTATATATTACTATGTAAAATATCTTCCCCTGGGGATCATGATTTGAACAATTTAGAATCTACATTATACCAGGATGCTTCCACATAAGTTTCAGCTTTTCTGGCCCAGTGGTTCTTGAGAAGAAGATTTTCAAAGATTTTTCCTATATATTTCTATATAAAACTTTGATTCCCCATTGTGGCCCCACCCATCCCCCGGGGGTCATTATTTGAACAATTTAGAATCTACATTATATGCTTCCCATAAGTTTACTTTAAAAGATTTTCAAAGATGTGTATATTTCTATGTAAAAACATCATGATTTGAACAATATACACTATACAAAGCTTTTCTGGCCCAGTGGTTCTTGAGAAGAAGATTTTCAAAGATTTTTCCTATATATTTCTATATAAAAATTCCCCATTGTGGCCCCGCCCTTCCCCCGGGGGTCATGATTTGAACAATTTATATCTACACTACCCCAAGATGCTTCCACATAAGTTTCAGCTTTACTGGCCCAGTGGTTCTTGAGAAGAAGACCCCACCCTATTTTTGTCTTTTCTTGATTATCTCCATCCTTGCGAGGGGATATGTCCATTTTAACAATTTAAATTCCCCTTTACCCAAGGATGCTTTGTACCAAGTTTGGCATTGGCCCAGTGGTTCTTGAGAAGAAGTGACCACACCCGACGGACAAAATGTGATCAGAAAAGCTCACTGAGCCTTCGGCTGGGGATAAGAGAGTAAATGTTCTCCTCATCTCTTTCGATGTAAAATAACTTACCACATTCACTGGCTGATCCTCCAACCAACTGGAAATACTGTTGAGCTATTTTGAGATGCTCTCTCTGCAACAACACAAACACTAATTAATGCATTAACATTAGACTGAGGTCTCTGAAAATAGCTCCCTGCCACCTTAAACTACATTTAAATACCACAATGAGAAAGATTCAAAGTATTTTAAATAGAATTCATATTCTACCAAAGCATACTTTCTCACATGAAATATTATGAGTCTATATCCATCAAGCTCGCTAGTGACTTACAGATCCTTGCTCCTGTCCCATGGCAGCATTGACCACACCCTTCAGAATGTATTCCTGTGGGGTGGTGGGCTCCAGGTCCTTGATCAAATTGTAGGCTTCAGCTATGTCATCTGATGGGAAGAGAAACATATTCCGCTATATAGTATGACTATTTTGAAAGTTTTCATGCAAAAAAACTTTGATTCATTTACTTAATTCATGACTACTGAAAAAAATATCTGACATCTTGGCTTACCCTGTTTAAGGTAGTATATGACAAGATTAAGTCTGGCCTCTGGTATGACATCAATAAGAGGAGGCAAAACTTGTAGAGCTCCTTCACCCCCTCTAAACACCACCTACACAGTAATAAAAGAATCATGATAAACTATTTGGGCAAACTTATATGTATATAATTAACTCAATCACAAATACTTACTTCTAAAAAAGCTGACAAGTGGTAAACAGCTTTAGGAGAAACTATAACATTTGTTCAATTTTTACAAATTTAGTTCTTCAATATTAAATGACAAGCCACTTACTAAATTATGTTTGATGAGATCTCTGGCAAACACAAAAGAGGGAGATGACATTTCTTGAAGACTTTTTAGCTCTGCCTGAAATTGACAATTAGGATTCACATTTCACCATATTTCTGTAAATTTCTGTAAAATTCTTTTTACAACAATCAATGTACTGTGCAGCTGAACCTTGGTATCATAAATTTTGAAATCTATCAATATCTTGAACTCTCAAAGTTTTTTTTTTATCAGTTCCATTGATTTTGAGATAATGAGATTTGATTTATACCAGAAGTATTTATCAACGATTGAAACAAAGTTAACATTAGTTTATAAATACCTTGTCAAGTCCATAAAGAGGGTTAAAGCTAACTCTTACCTCTGCAGCCTTGCCATTGTAGAGTCTGAAATGATTGCAGGCTTTGAGATTGAGAGCAATAGCACTGTCTGGATACTGTTGGAGATAGACTGCTAGAACTTCCTAAACAACACAATGACAAGTACACAAATAAGAGCCGCACTCTTAAGATATGCAAAACTACAGGCACATAAAACTATCAAAGAAAATCATTGAAAAGTATGTAATTCTATAATCAAAATGACAAATAAAACATTAGGACTTATTGTTATGATTACTTCCAAACTATAAGATAAAAAGGCATTGCATATTTTTAAGAAACAAGTTTATCTGTTTTTAATAATATATAACATAAAAAAAAGTTCACTTGCCTGTGATACGTCATAGTAGTCTAATTTGTAATAGCAAAGAGCAACATAAACATTGAGTGCCAGAAAGTCCCTGAAAAAGAAAGTGAAAGTGTTTCAATTTTCAAGCAATGAAATATCAGTTTTCATCATAAGTAACATGTAAATACTGAAATGCTTACAAGTTAATCAACATTGTAATTGAAGTACAGTTGCACTTCATTATTATCTGAAGATTTTTCTCAACAAGTTTGATATCTCCAGGTTTGGCTGTATGTATTACCTGTTGTCTAAGAGTATGCGTTTGTAGATGTCTATAGCCTCCTGGTAATGACTCCGTAGGTAGTGTATGGAGGCCAGAGAGAGCTGATCCTCTATCACGTCCTGGAGATTCTGATGGTGACCCATTAACCTCTTCTCATCCCCAAACTTGTGTGATAAATGAAACAGCAGTCGGTTCTGTAATTTGCTCTTTGGCCCTGATAAAAAAGTTAAAATTTAAGATTTGTAGATGGATTTTTAAAAAAAAAATATATAATGTAAGAAAAGAAAATACTGATAATACAGATTGTTAAGTTTTGTCACCTTTTTGACAAGCATTGTCTGCCTCTGGATACATTCCAAGGAAGAAATAACAACAGGCTAAATTTGTCCAGACATCGGGGTGACAGGCATCACGTTTTGTCATTCTCTCAAACTCCTGCCAATATATACTTTATGTGAGCAAGAAGTACAAATGGTACCTATAAATGTCCATCAAAATTTGCAATATCACTCATAACAAATAAAAAGAATATGATTTAACGCTAGTGGCTTTTAAAATAAAGAACACTACTACCAACCTCCATTGATCTCTTGTAATCTCCCAAATGAAATGCACAGTAAGCAATCCACATGTCTGTCTCCTCATTACCCTTTCCACTGTTTCTATTGAACTAGGAGCAGATAAAATAAATAGCATGATAGCACAGTGACAATTTAAGCTAAACATACATGTATTATTCTTTAATACTAAATCCAGTTGTCTTATTATGTTGATCACTTTTAAATTTACTGACTAATGACAACTACCACAAAATGAAAGGAGCAAAAGTAAAATGGGATAATTTCCCTGCGTTTGTTTATAATAAGAAATGTACTTAAATACTGTGACAAGAAGTTAATATTTATTCTTAAATAAACCTTTAATGGATTAAAAGAGCAGTTTTTTACAGTCTTTTCATTACCTCTAATAGTGTAATTGCCCCTGTGTAGTCTCTGAGAGCTAAAAAGTCTTCAACTTTAGGCATCTGTTTCTTTTTCTTGTTTTCTTTTGCTGGAGTTGTTGAGCCAGGCCCAATGGCCGGCTTTGCTCTTGAGAGCATCTATTGAAAAAAACACACACATTGATTTGAACTGCAGTTACTGGCGCAATAACTATCAAGAAGCGAATGAAAGTGGTAAAATGTTTTCATTTGAATCGAATGTTTGTGTCTCCTTATTGAAAGTCAATTACAGTGCATTACATAATAAAGTGCCCTTTCTTTTAGAACGAAAAGAAATATTTATATTGCAATGTTTTCAGACAACTGGTTACCCATGCTCTGAGACTAGAGTTTTGCTGAAATGGGAATACTAAGACATGTCCTAAAGAATGTTTTTAGATTGTCTTTAGTCTATAAGTGTATTACAGAGGCTCAAAGGGGATGAAATTGTATTTCAAATTGTATCCAATCTTGTGTTGTTTTAGTTTAAGTATATAATTTTCTAATAAACGATTATTACACGCCGAGGCCCCTATGATTTTAGTTCAAAGTTGATTTCAAATACTGTGGTTTCAATAATATTTGTTGAGCACCAATTTTGGAGAAGTTGAAGCGAGGAAGGGGTACAAAATTGTATCCAATATTGTCTTGTTTTAGATTTAAGTACATGATTTTCTAATAAATGATTATTACATGCCGAGGTCCTTGTGATTTTAGTTCAAGGTTGATTTCAAATAAATTATTTTATTTTTACTAAGCAATGACTTAATATTATCCCTAATTCCCAGTCTTTTTGGATATTTAGTATTGATACATGTTTAAATTTAAAGTTTCTATAACTTCTTACAAAGAATTACAAAATATCAGTAGAGTTTTCAATGGGTTGCTGGATAGCTCAATAGGGTATTCAATTTGGTCTAACGAGTATCACATTAGCTAAGTTTCAATCTAGGTCAGTGGGTTACTCTGGTGTATCGTTAGATTTTACAGGTAAATGTGAGTTGATTTCAATGCTGTATAAAGCCATATGTATCTTCCAAATTGTCCTGGTGTAAATAAATACAAAAGTTACCCCCTACCAATGCCATAATTAAGCTTGTCATTGCACAAAATGTTTTAACTTGCAACCAAAGTAAAAAAGCAGAATGAGTGAATAAATTAATTTTCCCAAATTTAAAAAAGTCTTTCCTTTACCATTTTGAAAAACTTTTATGTTGATTCCCTAAAACAAGCGCTGTTCTTCTAACTCTGTCTCTTCAGTACACTGTTCATCTGTTGTTTGGTGGTTGTTTGGAATGCAATCGTGGTCTTCGTTGTGCAAAACAATATATTGAAATTCTTTCCCTTTATGAAACGTTTGAAAGATGTCAGCAACTATTTTAGATAACTGGATCGTTAAATGATTCGTTAAACATTACTTGAAAATATCTGTAAGGAGTTGCAGTTTTAAAACAAGAATCATTAATTTATTTATGCATAATACTTTTAGAAATCTACATTCACACATTAACTTTAAAACAATAATCCTTAAAAAATGTTGTCGGGATCAAGATTTTTATTTTGGACATTTATGGCGGGAAACTGAGAGGCGTGATAGATAAAGGCAAAGATCACGATGAGTGCATACGAAAAACTCCGGAACAAAAACATAGAAGATAACAAGCGTATTTTAGCAGAGCTTGGACTTTCTAATTTTGTAAGAAAGCATGTCACTTTATTTTATTATTATAAAAAAGGGGGAGGGGCTCCTGACAAATGAATCGTTACAAGTAATCATTGTAAATTATAATAGAGTAATAAATTGGATATGTATATAAATTTATAGATGATCATAAAATACAAACTGAAATGATCAAATCGGTTAAATTTTAAATCTGTTAACAAAATTATAATTGAAAAATATTAATATATAATGAATGAATTAATGCCACTGTTTATATGTATGAAGGGAAAATTCTCGCTCAAAAACAACAGAGCAACAAACAGATTAATATGCATTAAGAAAAAACCCATAAAGAAAATTAAGAAATTCTACAGTTTTAAAAGTAAAGTTCAAACCAGTGAATTTTTATTGTCATAACAACATATGAACAAGAATGAATTGTACCGGGGTATATCTTCTTTAAGTACTTAGTTGTTTATGGATTATTATGCTCTGTAGCTTCCCAAGTTATCAAAAGTCACATTACAAAAGAAAAAGTTGCCAGAAAAAGCAACAACAGAAAAGCAAAAGCCAAAGCAGAAAAGAAAATTAGAGATAAGTGATGAAGAACTTGGATCAATTCGAAAAAGAAGAAGAAGGTCTGCACGGATTCAGGGCAAGGTACAGTCGAAATAACATTATAAAGTCACTGATAACTCAACTTCATTAATGGAAATTATCTTTGAGGAAGGATTTTGACTTTGAAGTGGAATAAAAGGGACCTCTAATATTTATGCCTATATGCCTAATTAAGGGTACTTACCACAAACAAAAAATGGATGCGCGGGTTGATATATATTTTTTAACTGATTTTGATTTGAAATGACATAAATAATAAATCCCTGAAATATCAAGAAATCGTAGGTTTTCCTTGGTGCTTAAATATGAGATTTTGTTTTGCATTCTATATAATTCCATACAAAATTTTGCACAATTATTTAACCTTATGACAAAATCTTATATAATTCTCTTCCTCTACTTGGTAAACATAGTTCAGGATGTCAATTTAAATGTAAATCTAAGAAAAATAATGCTGATTTCTGAAAAAAGTTTGTTTGTGTTATTTATCCTTAAGACTATTGCATGGGATGAGGCAGAAAACTCGGTAGTGATAAAGTTGGATGTTTTGAATTATATACATGTAAATATATGATTAAATTCATCAAACTTTTAGGAGGCAGATGTCCTTGCTTTGGAAGATGAAGAGTCTAGCAATGATGAAGATGCAGTTAAGCCATCCCCTAAGGTTTTCAGGCCACACTCCTATGGGGCTATTGAGGGTTAGATCTTCTATATGTATATATGTGTGCTAACATGTAAATTAATAATAATTTGCACAATGACAACAGGGATGATTTTTTTCTTCTCAAAGGTGTAGAAGTTGGAACCACTTGGATGATGCGCATCGATTGTTCTAAAGACGGCATTCACAGGTTTGTAATTATGTACAGTGTATGTGCATAGTAATATTATGACCCTCACATTGCGAGATGGGTGGGTCTTTCTTAGTTCATGTCTTGCAAAAACATTACAAAAGGGCTTTTTCATTGTTTTAATCATAAGATAACATTGTCGTGTGTTTGACATGCATTGGTTTTCAATAACTAGTAATTGTAACTGGAATGGAAATTCATAAATCTTTACAGACCCACAGTTGCTGGAATCCATGGAGGGCCAGAAGGAGCATATTCCATTGCCCTCTCTGGTGGCTATGATGACAATATTGACCTTGGAGAAGGATTTACTTACACTGGAGAAGGTCGTAATTTGATTAAGCCATAAAATAATGATCACATAGCAGATTCATGAGGAATATGTTGTGTTTTACTGATTTTAATCAAGCTCTTTACATTGCAGGAGGAAGAGATCTGAAAGGAACAAAGGCCAATCCAAAGGTAGTATTATATTATTTTCCACAGGAGATTATCATAAATCAAATGTTTTAAAATTACTTTTATTTCCAAATTGTGCTAAAATTTAGTAATTTAATACTTTTTGTGTTTATTAGATTTGATGGAAAGCAGAGCATTATAAGAAATCTAAAAAAAGATTTTTTTTCAAAAATAGAAATTAGGCTTTCTAATTTGATAACATACATTTTACTAGGTTCTTTTTTTTAATTGTGAGTTTTTTTTTTCTCTCTAGAATTTAAGAACAGCTCCTCAATCAAAAGACCAAACCTTAACAAGGGGAAACTTGGCTCTCAGCAAAAATGTGGAAACCAAGCAGCCAGTGAGGGTGATTCGGGGGTACAAGCTGACCAGTCCCTTTGCTCCAGAGGAGGGGTACAGATATGACGGTAGGCATTAAGAATGCCAAATATTACATTGGTATATGGGATTGAAAACAGATTTTAAAAAAAGGCATTGCCTTGTTTATCAGAATTCATTTCAAATGTTCTGAGACATGCTAAGTAAGAAATCTACTTGGAATTACTAATTCTAATTTCCTTGCTCTTCTGTTTCTAGGACTTTATTCTGTTGAAAAATGCTGGTTCACCACTGGGTTGTCAGGATTTGGAGTGTGGAAATTTGCATTAAAGCGTTGCCCAAACCAGGCACCCCCACCCTGGACAGTTTCTGAGGTAAACCTGAAAATTCCCCCCCCCCCAAAAAAAAAAAAATTATAAGAGTTTTCTGGGTATTCTATATTATTTATAAGGTCACTTGAGTCACTTGGGCATGTTTTAGTACGTGTTACAAGTTGTCCATGAACCTGTTTACAACAACTTGCCAGTAGTAACAGAACCAATTTTAAAAAGTTTTTGGCATCTGATGGTCAAGGGTTACACATACAGAATTTTTTTTAATACCGTATTTTAAGTCAATGTGTACCTGTTATCAGCAAAGAAATCTTACCCAAAACTATGAAATTTTTTCCTATTTGTCTTTTTTCTCGAGAGCTTTGCTACACAAATTATTAGCAATAGAGCTATACACATAAGAAAAGATCCTTTCTCAAAATTATTTAAGTTTAGTACCATACAATTTTGTGGAATGGTGCCTGGTTCTACTGATTACTTGATCCCTAGGTGAGAAGAATGGCTAAAATTCAATTGATATAGAAATGTCTTTGGACCTCTTGTTAAGTACCATACACTATACAGCTGTAGGAGCAGGGTATATTACTATATTTAATATTTTTAGGTCACTTGAGTAAACTCGGGTGACCTATTGCTATCCCTTTTCGTCTGTCGTCGTGTGTTAACATTTGAACATTTTCAGCTTCTTCTCTGCAACCGCTCAACCAATTTTAACCAATTTTGGAATGAAGCATCTATGGGTGAAGGGGAACAAAAATTGTGAATTTCATGGTCCCTGCCCCCCTGGGGCCCGAGGGGTGGGGCCAAAACCACTAAAATTAGTGCAATCTTTAAAAATCTTCTTCTTTACTCCTGGACATCAAGCAGTCAAACTGTTTGCATGATAATGAGCATTGAGTCCTCTACGAAAATTGTAAAATTCATGGCCCCCGGGTCAGGGGTTCTGGTGTTAGGGCGGGACTCTAATGATTATATAGTGGAAATGCATATGATTCTTTGAAAATCTTCTTCTCTACTTCTGGGTATAAAATAAACTAAGTACATAGTTATCATTAGCAAGAGTGCCTCTTCCAAAATTGAGAATTTTATGGCCCCAGGGTCAAGGGTTCTAGTGTTAGGGTGGAGCTCTATTGAATCTTTATAACCAAACTAAGCAATTGATAAGTGTATAGTTATGATGAGCAAGAGTGCCTCTACCAAAATTGTGAATGCCATAGCATCTAGCTTAAAATGTGAACCAAAATCAATTATTTGAAAGTTGTTGCATGATGTTCAGGTGACCTATAAGGGCCGTGGGCCTCTTGTTTTCAATAAACTTGTGTATAAAGTTTGATAACTGATTTCCCTTGCAGTCAAAATCGAGTGGTGATTCAACAGATGAAGAGAAATCAACAGAGACTTATGAAAGTGAAATAAAAGGAAATGAAACCAGAGACTTTAAAGAGAGCAAAGAATTGGAAAGCAATTCTGATTCTCTGAAAGATATAACATGTAGTTCGGCAGATGAACAAGACAAAAAATCAAGGGAAACAGATGAAAATGAAATCAAAGAAAATGGAACCAGAGACCCTACCAAGAGCAAGGAATTGGACAAAAGTCCTGATTCTCTGAAAGATACAGCATGTAGTTCCACCAATGAACCAAACACAGCAGCCAGTTCTAAAATTCTCCAAGAAAATGCTGAAACAACCAATGGCGGCAGTGAAGAGGAAGAAGAAATGGAAACAACAGATAAGATCAATGGCAGTCCTAAGAAGCAATTGGATGATAAAAGTATAGAGGACAAAAATGCTTCAGATATCATTGGTGGCACTAAAAAAGTGGAGAATGGCACTTCTGACAAGAATCCTATTGCAAACAAAGAGAATGAAAAGAAGGAAAATGACAAACCTGATGAAAATCTAAAGACTGGCAAGCAGGAGTTAGATAGTAAAGCTCTAAAATGTAAGCTAACAGAAAGTGATTCAAACATGTCATTAGAAAGCTGTGCAAAGGTGGGGCCTACAGAAGCCACAGTTGATAATCTGACAATGGAAGACAATCCTGAGAGATAAACACTTATCCATATGTAATTGCTTCAGAGTGATTGTAGAGGAAAAGACGGATGCATGAAGAGTTGTGTATATAAGTTGCAAAGAACTAGCTTGCTATGTACACTTATCATTTTATTTTTGTACCTTTAAAAGTTGATATATTACAGAATGCTTCAATATTAAACTTAGATTTTTATTCAAACTGCTGGTGTTGTTATTTGAAGGGAGCAAATGAGGTATATTTTACCTCATCAAATGAGCTTTTCTGATCACATTTTATCTGGCATCTGTCTGTCTGCTATCTTTTCATAAATCAGACTTTTAATGAAACACTTGGCCATTTTCAACCAAACTTGCCCCTATGTAAGGGGGATAACTCCTCTCAAAAGCCACAGGGGCAGAAAATATTAAACTATTAGCTGAAAGTATCCTCAAGAAGAGAGTAACAAGTTTGTTCAAATTATGACCCATAGGGACAAGGTGGGGCCATTATGGGTGAACCAATATTTACAAGTACAAATTACCCTGGTACTAGTAGCCTACACAGATGGGCAATGGATAAAGAAGACATCTTCAAGATTTTATTCATCTTTATATAAGAGTGATTATGAAAATAAATACATGTTTAAGTTTTCTTTCTATTATTTATTGTGTCCTGTCAATCCTTTTTAATTTTCCAGAATTTTTATGCTCAACCAAATTATTGCCAGAGTATGCAGTGTTTTTCCTCCTGCTGTCTGTCCAGTATTTCATATGAAGCTCCAAGATATCGTAAAAGTTTTTTTGTCAAATTAAAAAAAAAAATCTGTGGCAGTGTTTCAATCATTTACTATCTTGAATAGTATCTTAGAAAATGACAGTGTGAAAGGATGCAAGACATAATAAACACTAAATTGGCCTGAACGGTGGGGCATAATTAAAAACATTACTGCTACAAAACGGTACACAAGTACCTTAAGCATGCCATTCATTTCATTATGGACTGTTTTAAATATATCACTATGCACCTATATTGAGCTGATTATTAATATGTATACCTACTTTTATTAGTACAGATAAAAGTTTTGCACTGCTTAGATAATTTTTGGTGGAATTATTACTCTTGGACTCATCTGCAACTATGGATGTCCACAAATGACTTTTTTGCTGCTTTCACTCCAAGAGGATCTTCACTAAATAAATAATGGAAGAAAATTCTGTATTTCTTAAGCATTTTTCTCAAAATACAATGGTAAGACTTCCATCAACTATGAGCTTTGATTATTTCAAATTCTACTCTATATAAATTCAATGTTACGAGGGGCGTTCAATAAATAATGTCATTGGGGCTCAGAAAGAAGCAAACTACGCTTTTCAATGATTTAGTCTTCATGATTTTACTTATTAATCTCTTTTAATTCAAACACATGTCCGTAATATTTTTTATCCAATTTCTGATTGTTTTTAGAACTCATTTTTGGGTATGACCCTTAGTATACTGGAAAATGGCAGATCCAATGATTTCCTGGACTTGTTTTTTCCTTCTGAAAGGTGTTTTTTTCAAGTTTGGAAATAGAAACAAGTCAAAAGGTCAAAGATCTGGCAAATATTGTTAATGCGAAAAAACATTAACTTTCTGTTTATCCCGAATACCCCTTTACTCTTTAGGGCATGCGGGTTTGAACGCTGTCATGAAGAAATTCAACTAATGGATTCCTGATTCTGGGTCCTTTCTCTGATAAACCTTTCAATTTCTTTGCAAAAAAACTGCTTTCTAAGACACCTCCAGATATTAAACTGTCTCCCCGAATACAAATTTGAACAACAATACCACTAATATTTCAGAAAATTGCATATAAATCTGTCTTTGTGCTCTTGCAAACCTTTGCTCTTGACAGACCATCGCCATTTTTATCAAGTACATCTTATGATAAATTTTGTTTTAATGGTTTTAAGCAATAGATTCATGTTCCAATATCTGTTTGAATATAAAACAAACGTGGATTACAACAATTACTGGTATTTTCAAATAATTGTTAAGACTTTTGTACACGCTGTTGTTTTCACTCATTTTTCAATTTACAGGGTTACCTTAGAGTATCAAGCTTAATTACTGTCAAACGTTTCTTAAAAACAGTGTAAACTACTCCCAATATGATGTCTAACAAATTTGCTATGTGTCTTAAAGTCAATCATACAACATGAAATATTATTTGTTGAAATTTGGCATACAGTACATAAGTTTTTATAATTTTTGTTGGCAAACGAGGGTACCCATTTTTGATGCCCATTATATAATTTTTTTATCATTGAAATCCACCTGCTCATTTGTCTATAAAACAGGCATCGGTTGCTGTAAATGTCACATATTTCAGTGAATATTTCTTTGGGATTTTTAACAAGTTTTACAGCAGCTTTAATGTAGCTTTTATTTTCACTCTAGTTTAATGATTCTTCACCATTCATTTATAATGCAGTGTCTCGAATAGCCCGTTTCCCAGCTTCTCACGATAAAACTATGTGATGAAAAGTGGTCACATAAACTGTTATAAATTCATTAAAGATTCAATAATGAGAGAAAGTCAAGCTTTATGTCATATGACTACTATGTTGTATGTCATCGAGCTAATGACATTATTTATTGAACGCCCCTCGTATATTTTGAGAACACCTGATGTTTACCGGTACTTTTTGAATACTGTTTAGTCTCTGAAGAAGCAAGGAAACAAAACAAACCTCATAACAGTTTATTTGTATACAACAAAATGTACATGCTGAATGTTAAAAGAAGAATGAAGCATAAAAAGTTAACAAAGAGGCACAGTAGGCAATCTCTGAATTTTTCATTGATAGCTTGTGGATCAAATGAAACTTTGGACTCAAAATTATGAACAATTATACCATTTAGAAACTTTAAGTAAAGCTGATTAAATGATTTCATTATATATGTATATACTTTATAATTTATACATCTTGTAGGATTAGACTTTCTGTCACAACACTTTATTCATAAATCTCCTTTGTCACAATCAAAAAGATTATATGAATGTTTCAAAACTTTAAACTTCTCATACCACAATGTAAAAGTCCTTGCACACACAACATTGTGAACATAATACATATAAAATAACCAATTAACAAGGCCTGTGAATTAACATACAATTTAAAAACAATTTGACATTCAATTCACTATTGAATGTAGTACTTCTTTTTAATTCATCTTTCATTACAGAACAACAGCATTGTAACCTTTTAAAATGATTTTTTTTTTTTTCAAAATGTGAACATACTCTCTTCTATTCTGAGTGTTCTAATACAAATAATTTCTGTCCACATAAAAAACCTGATTATAGATCTAAAGCTTAAATGTTCTGCTGTGTAGAAGCCTGAGCTAGCATGGTAATGGCTGACAGAGCCTCGGAATTCAGCTGTCCATCGGGACACTCAATCTCGTACTGGACAGACGGGAAGCTGTACACCAGTGTACTACCGTCTCCCTCCTCCTCTCCTGTCGACTCCACCGTGTAATACGTGCTTGTCGCAGGGTCCTCCGACTCCTGTATGTAGTATTCCTCTATCTGACCTGGCTCCACTTCAATACGGATGTTCCCGACCACATTGGTAAGACTAGTGCTATCCCCGTCTTGCACCGCTTCTATGATGATGTTTTCTGGCTCAGCTTTCAATACCTTGGCTGCCTGTTTTTGTTTGTTGTTAGCCTGTAAGGCCTTGGGCTTTCTTATACTTAAGGGCTTCACTTTTTTCGTTTCACCATTTTGATTTGGTTCATGCTGTTGCATATGGCGATTTAAATATTCCTTCCTAAAGAATCCTCTGTCACAGACACTGCAGAAGTGGTTTTTCACAGCATCATGGGCTGATTTTTCATGACGTTTCAAACTCTCTGAGGAAAAAAATTATAAACACCATTATTGATCACCTACATATTTGCAGAGCAAGCAAAGAAACACTTCTCTTTAATTCTGGATAGAACTAGTATTTTGCATTTCAAGTTTTAAGTCAGAGTAAGATTTTACTGATTTGGCTATAATGGTTTATTTGACAAATTCTTACTTCTGCTGCAGAACTTTTTGCCACACTGAGAGCAGAGGTGCTCCTCTTCCTCTGGTGGGTGTTTGAACTTCAGATGTTTCTCAAAACGAACATCGGTGGCGAACTCTCGATTACAGAGCTTGCAGTAGTGGATGTTGTTACCTCCCTTGGCGTGGATCTGTAGATGTGATCGTAGGCTGTTGGGGACATGGAATCTCTTACCGCAAATGTTGCACCTATGATAAATCATAAATATTGGATATACATGTATACGGAAGTTTGTTGCATTTTAACTGATAAGCTTCGATAAATCTATGCCACACATTTAGTATTGAAAAATTCTTTTCTTAATTTATCTCATAATTTTTTTCTTGGATATCAACTTACAGGAATGGTTTTTGACCAGCATGTTTACCAAGATGAAATTTCAGTGTTTTCTTCAGAGTGAAGGATTTATCACACAGATTACAAGGATAAGGTTTGATGCCGGTGTGTCCATACATATGAGCTGAAACAAAAGGAATTGTCTTTGGAATGGTTTTTTTTTTCTATTATCATTTAAGTATCACTTGAAACTATGATTAGTTGATTCAACTTTCTTTAAAATTGCCCATGAAACAGGATACATTATATATACATGTACTTTGAACATATATTTTTTGTTTGCTATTTGTTCCTCTGAGAATGTTTCACTCATCTTGGGATACCTCTGTTGTCGATTTAAGACTACAAATCTACTTATGTAAGACAGGACTTCAGTTTGTGTGGTCTCACCTGAAGAACTGCATTTCATATTTACCTTTGAATTTATTTTGTCCTTTGAATAACATTCCACAAACTTCACATTTAAGTTTCAGGGACTTGTGCACTTCTTTTTTGCCCTCTATTGAAATAAAATGATGCATCCATATTAAATAAGCATTTACAAAGCATACATGTATTTGAATGAACTGAGAGGAAATGCCTTCATTTCATTCTCATAAACATAATTTTTCTTCATCCACAAATGAAACCTTTGAGCCATTACTAAACAGTCCTGTAGATTTATTTGTAATTCTTACCCTTTCCTTTCTTACTAGAAGGTTCGGCTGAGGAGGAAGGCTGGTCTGATTTGCTGGCCTCCTTCTCCTCCATTTCCTCGTGGGACAAAATAGTTCTGACCGCAGCCTC